GCGGAGCCCATACAAGCATATTATATCACATGACGTTGTGCACGCACCGCATCCTGTGATGTCAAAATAGCGTTAAAAAAGCACCTGCACAGCATACAGCGCTTGAACCAAATGAAATATCCATTGGTGCTCGAAATGACGACACGCATGGCGCCATGTAACAATCCAAGTAAAGATAGTAGTCACCAGCACTCACTGGTGTGTGCAATGTGCAAAAAGGATAGCACTTTTATTGATGTGTCACATGCGTGAAGAAGCCAACGTTTCGGGGCCACGCAGGGTCCCTTCATCAGGGCGACATTGTGACGGTCCCGATGTCGCCCTGATGAAGGGACCCTGCATGACTAGTGACTACTATCTTTTACTGTGACGTCATACACCCCGCCTCCATGCAAGAACGCACTGGTGGCCGATATGCATGAAATGTTTATTTAAGATTGTATCTCTCTTAAAGTGACCCTGTGGATGGCCTGTAGCAGAACATGTTTAATACTTACTTTTCCAGTAGGTGGTAAGAAAAAAATGTACTGTCATAACAAGCTGGTATACAAAACTTCTGAGAGTTTCCTATACCTGATCCCTGCTTGTGGGGACTCCATTTGCCCCTATTACTCCAGAAGTGAAAACCTGTTGAACGGTAATGCGCACGCAATTACAAAAGACGGACTGATTGAGGCTATAGAAAGACAAGAAATGCTGGGGAAGCCTATTTAGGGGAAGCTGAAGATAGAATTAACAATTGGTGGAATGGTGACTCTCTGAAAACATTTGTCTTTTCAATTGTTTTAATTTTTTTAGTACACATGGTACGGTATGCTTTTTTTTTAAAAATATCAAAATGTACTTTACATCCCCAAACCAATAACATTTCCCGTTAAAGCTGAACTCTAGGTTCCCTTAAACTTTGTAAAAAGGTTTTTAACATAACTTTTAATTCTTTAGTATAAGTACCAAATACAGATTTTTCTTTTACACCAAAATGTACTTTACATCCCCAAAATAATACATAATAATATTTTCTGAAAGCAGAGGACCTGTAGAATAAGAAGATTGCAGTTGCAAATCTACATTTCCAGTATAAAATGCAATTAAATTAATACTAATTAAAGCAAAACTCAGGACAAACCTTAAACCTTGCAGTGGGGATACTGCTTGTTTTGTCTAGGGAGCTAAAAAAATAAATAAATATATATATATAATGAACCGCGATCCCGGCTTGCTCTTAGACCGCTCCCTTCCGCCTCAATGCCCCTCTGCTCCAGCGGTCAAAGGTCCCTGAGTAATCTCGTTCTATACAATGTATAGAACGTGAGGATGCTGAGGGACATACCACAGCTGGAGTGAGATGTCCCTGCCCTACACTGTAGTTCCCACTGTGCACAGCAGCCTGTAATTTAGATAGACTGCTTGCAGAGCACAGAGGCGACCATTTCAAAAGGAGCCACAAGGAGATGATAAGGACAGCTAACAAAAAAGTAAGTGTCTGTGTTCATATACAGCAACTGCATATGCCTGCTTCATGTACACTCGGTGGACATTGCTGGCATATGTATTGTTCAAAAATACCTCCGCAAAGGTGGAAATGGGCTTTAACCCTTACAGAGCAGGGGTAGCCCCACTGCAAGTGTTAAGATTTGATAAGTCCAGAGTTCTGCTTTAAGCCATTTTCTAATTTCCTGTTTCAGTGACAGCCAGTGCATGGCAAAGAGCTGAATTTCCTGTTTATTTCCTTAGGCCCCATTCGGCCCCGTTCACATTGAGCGATTTATCGCGCGATTTTTGTAGCGAAGTCCATAGGGGTTGTTGCCTATGGACTCCCCTAAGGAAATAAACAGGAGGCTCACAAAGTTAGCGTAAATGTAAAGTTAGAGTAATTTGCCACAAGTACACTAAACCCTTTATTTTTGCCTTAACGTGTAGATAAAAACAAGCTGAAACAAAATATCCTCATAACTAACCTGGAAAGAGCTCACAAGTTTCGTTGTACGAGATGCATTTTATAATTTGACCATACATGTTTACAAACTCCAAAAAAGCTACTGCACAACCTTGAAAAACACAATCCAGCAACTGAAGGTTTTTTGCTTTCTTTTTTTTATCTAAGCATGCCAAAATAAGTCATTTTTGAATCATCTTAGTAACCACTACTCCGGAATTTTTTTTATTTTTTTTTACCAGAAAGAATATATTTTATGTTTTTTATCTGTAAGAATATATTTTATGTTTTTTATCTGTAAAAATATATAGACAAACATGCACTTTTTTGTGTGATCGCGTCGCACTGGACCGCCTGCAGTGCTGTACCATGCGTTCTGTTGTGGGCAATGGCACTGCGGGCAGGCGGGAGGCATTGCTGCGGTGCCATTGACTCGAATGGCACCACAACTCCCTCTCCCGCCCCAGAACGCGGGAGGCTTTAATTATGTGATCCAGTGCGTTACGGCCACTAACCGTGCCGGAATGCAGTGGATGTGGTGTGAACACTTTATTGCTTTATGGCATATTTTGAATCATACGCATCTTAGAGCTGGTAACTTTGTTATGCCTGGTAAAACTATGCAAGCTGTTTAAAAACAAAAAAACAAGCAAATCCTATATAGGAATAGAGGGATACAAGCTACTAAAGGCAAACATGTGGGACAATATATTTTATTGCTTTTAAATTTTTGTATTACATTGATATTGTTTTTACATTTTTGTGTTACAATGACGAAGTTTATTTAGTGTACAACCCTTTTGTTTTCTGTTTCCTTCTCCTTTATATAGCTACACAATCTCTATAGATAAAGCATGTACACAGGAAATAAACAGCTGTCCACCACAATATCATACAACTAATAAAAAGAAACATGCCTGACCACATATTACTTTGTTTTACATTGTAGTGTTACAATTGAAGCTTATACACTGGCTGTCCCCCAAAAAAGTCACCACCTGGATTTATCTAAGCACATAGGTCAGAGCCTTCCATTGGATTACAGGTCTAGGTTCAACAATTGTATATCCCCAAAAAATGAGGTCAGCTGCCTCCCTGAATATACTGAATGACCAGGTTTTTCCATCAATGATTTTTTTCTTCCCCGATGGCACATTGGGCATATTCCAGGATGACAATGCCAGTGCCAGCGGGCTCAGATTGTGAAAGAATGGTTCAGGGAGCATGAGAGATTGCCACACACGGATTGGCCAGCACAGAGTCCAGACCTGAACCCCATTGAGAATCTTTGGGATGGGCTGGAGAAGACTTAACACAGAGGTCCGACTCTCCCATCATCACTATAAGATCTTGGTGAAAAATGAATGCAACTCTGGAGGGAAATAAATGTTGTGACATTGCATAAGGTTATCGTAACAATGCCAAGGCAAATGTGTGCCGAAATCAAAGCTAAAGGAGGTCCAACAAAATATTGGAGTGTGTGACTTTTTGTTTTGGCCAGTCAATGTACACTGCAATAATAGTCTAGCATGCCTGCTGTAGCTAATCTCCTTCCTCTACATCACCATGCGTACATATGCCTAAATACAGCAACTAAAATGACATATGGGTCAATTCAGTAAAGTATAACACACGTGGTGTTTTCATTACCGTGCCTTGTTTGCTAAATTCCACCATCAATAAAAAGTGTTTGTTTAATTTACTGAAAGATCTATCACACTTATCATCAGAACTGACTGTGTACACGTTATCAATTTCTGCATAACATTTTTTATATAAAAATCGGTTCTCAAGGCATGGGGTTTTGCACCTAAAAATACCAAAAAAAAATTGCATTGGCCTTCTATGAAGCATTCATTAAAGTGAGAAGAAAGCAGAGCCGCTTGAGGTCACAATAAAATGACACGTTGTGAACATTAAAGGAGTTCAATTGTTGAGCATTTTGATTAGAAAATGATCTGGAGGTGAAATTACTGAACGACAAGACATTGAGGGGAATGTATCAAAACTGGGGGAGACAGAATCTGGAGCAGTTGCCCATGGCAACAAATCAGCTTTTTTTCTTCAGTTTGCTCAGTTAGGATTTGAAAATGAAAGACAGAAGCTGATTGGTTGCAAAGCACAACTGCTCCAGATTTTGTCTGCTCCAGTTTTTATAAATTCCCCCCATAGTGCTTCT